AGATCGGCAAAGCGTGATGCCGGGGTTGAAACGCCGCAATGTTAATCGCTATCGTCCCCGCCATCATGGGCGCGAAGACCGGCAGCAACCACCCGGGCGTCATGTTCGGCATGCTAAGCACCTGATGCTCGAATATGAACTGATACTGTGCGATGGCGGCGACGAAGGTGACTGCGGAGTATATCCAGAAGCAGACGCGCAGGGCGTCGTCGAGCCACGGACCACAGTGAGCGCCGCCATATATGCGCGCGTTCGACAGCACTGTCGCCGACGCGATGAAGACTGTCGGCACAAAGAGCGACTCGATATGGTGCTGCAGCGATCGCGGGAGCGTTCCGGGATACGAGAGGAAGCGATAGGCCAGTCCCGACAGGATGCCCAGGAACAGCGTCAGCTGCAGGACATAGAACGCCCGGCCGACGTATTCCAGGCCGTCGAACTTGTGTGGCACGACGTGCAGCAAGATCGCAATCCCGCCAGTCGACATGCAAGAGGTGAACCACGCCCACGTGAAATGGCGCATACGCTGGTGCATGGAAAGATGCGCAGGTGGTGGCGTGGAATCCTTCTCGTCGCTTGAGATCGGAGTGGCCGCAGTGGCAACCGACTTTGCAGGCAGTGCTGCCGGGCTGTGAGTGCAGCTGTACCGCCTCCTGGGCTTGCTCCCAAGTTCCTTCAGACACAGTCCGGACATGTCAGCCTCACTGGTGAGCATGGTGTCGCCGATTTGCGGCCCCTGGCCGTCCATGCTGCACAGGCGGGAGGTACTGCCCAGCAGCGTAGCGTTGGACGAAGATGTCTGCGGCGGTGCAAAGGACGCATTGCGACTAGGCTGAGGCCTGCCTGCGCTCATCGGGTCGGCACAGTCGCCACACGGCGTGATCGGCTCGCTTGGCGTGCGCGCGCCTCGCGGCGACGAGAGTGCACCACTAGGTTGCCGCGAGTGGTGGTGATGGTGGTGATGGTGGTCGGGCAGCTGCTGCTGGTAGACGATCTCCGCTTCAGCAACCGCTGGGCTGACGCCATGATCAGGGTCGCTCCGCGACATGGTTGGCAGGAGCGGCGGTGCTGGCGACGAGTGCGTCATCTGTGCGCGTCTCTGTCTCTGTCGGGCTCCCTTTTGAGCCTCGACAGACGATACACTGCAAACGTGGAGGGCTGGGGGAAGGGTGCGACGGTGGCGTCTAACGGGTGAGCGCTCATATGAGGCTGCCTGCCGCTGCTGATGCTGGAGCTCGAGGTTGTGAAACTGGCGTCGAACACCTGCGCCGCATGCATCACGTGCGAGTGTCGATCATGAGGAGGCCTTGCGCACGACTTGCGATACAGCTGTCAGTCGGAAGCTTTGAAGGTGTGCAAAGCAGATGAAGCCTGCGCGCCCACTCCCTGATAAAGAGCAAGCAACTCCGCGAGATCGCACCGCGCCGCACCGCCACAGCCGCCGTGACTCCGCCTTGCTGGGTGCGCGCTGGTCCCGGCCTTGCCTGCACTCACTTGGCAACAAGGCTGTGTCTGCTCTGTCCGGTCCTCTCGCCGCCACTGCCCGCTCCCGGAACGCAGGCCTGGACTTGCACGAGGCGTGGATGGATGGCATGACGCTGGGCGGCAGAAATAAGCTTCCGGATAAAGAGTCATTAACATGTCCTGTCAAGGCCAGCTGCCCGCTGTCACCTGGGAACGCATGGGCGCTGCCAATCGCAGTGACTAAGAGCTACGTACGGACAGCGAGGTGGGCGCACTGTGGGGGTTGCGGGCCAGTCAAGGTCGTGGCAGAGCTCTATAGCAAAGGCTGGCCTCTGTTCTGTTGCAGTGTTGGCAGCGAGAGATATGGGTCGTCTACGCCAGGGCTGATAATGCATGTCGGGAAGTATATAACGGCTATAACGGCTTCGCCAGGCAGGTTAAGCAGGTGCAAGTGGTGTATCATTGAGTCTATGAGCATTCAACAAGAGAAGAGACAGGTGCAATGAGCGCGGCATGAGCGCGGTCTTGGACATCCGACGTGGCAGCATTGCTGAACTCAGCGTGCGAGTGAACCAATCGGTGTGGACAGCAGGCCACAGGTGTGGCACTGACTCGGTCTATGCAAAGGTTTCCGACGGAGCACAAGGCAATCAGAGCTGGGCCTGGGCGGCAGCCTTGCCCTGCATAGCAGCCTCGAACTCAGGGCAGAAGGTGTAGTCGATGTACCCCTCCTTCTTCTCCGGAGTGTAGAAGACGGTGCGATCCCACTGCCTCCAGGGGATGTTGTTGAAGATCCTGAATGGCAGGTCAGGGTTGGCGATGAAGGAGCGACCAAGCCCGACGGCGACCTTCAGGCCTGGCCTGTTGGCGACGAACTGCGTGGCGGTCGACTGATTGTGGCCGCCAGCGGAGATGAAGGCGACGTCAGGGTTGACCTTCTGGACGGTGTTAACAAGGAAGTCGAGCGACCTGTACTCCCGCTCAGGGTCGGCATCGACCGGGCCGTCAACCATTGACTCGACACCATGGACATAGGCGACGCCCATCTCAGCCAGCTTGCCAACGAGGTACTCGAACTGAGGCACCGGGTCCTTCATGCCCATCTCCTGGAACGTGCCGTAGGGGGAGACGCGATAGCCGACGCGCTCTGCGCCGATCGCGTCGATGCAAGCCCGCGCAACCTCGAGGCCGAACCGCGCGCGGTTCTCAACACTGCCGCCGTACTTGTCGGTGCGCTGGTTCGACATGTCCTGCGTGAACTGGTCGATGAGGTAGCCGTTGGCACCGTGGATCTCGACGCCGTCGAAGCCAGCGGCGATGGCGTTCTTGGCGGCCTGCGCGTACTCGGCGAAGTAGGACTCGACCTCGGCCGTTGTCAGCTCGCGCGGCATGGCGATGGGTGTGCCGAGCAGACCCTGGGTCGCGAGGGGGATCGCGGACGGGCCGACGACGTCGCAGCCGTCCTTGGCCAGGGTAGCCTCGTCGGCGACGCGGCCGAGGTTCCAGAGCTGCATGAAGACGAACGAGCCCTTGGCGTGCACGGCATCGGTGACCTTCTTCCAGCCCTTGATCTGGTCCTCCGACCAGATGCCGGGGACATGATCATAGCCGCCGGCTCTGGGGCTGATGAAGGTGCCCTCGGTAATCAGGAACGTGCCAGGCACGGACGCGCGCTGAGCGTAGTACTCAGCAACATAGTCGTGAGGGACATGCTTGTCGTCGGCGCGGAACCGAGTCAGAGGCGGAAGAACGACGCGGTGCTTCAGCTGGCACTTGCCAATGGTGAGGGGCGTGTTGAGGGGGTGAGCCGTGTCCATCTCGTCGAAAAGCTCCTTTGCCTGGTATCGGGTCAATCGCAAAGTCAATGGGTTTGCAATATGCTGGAGTAGTAGGAGCAGCAACTATGACCGCGCGTTCGTTTTCGTCGTCGCCGAGCCATCCTGTCACTTGGCGTCACAGAACGTATATAAACGACCTGATGTTCGTCCATGCTGCCATCCCTCGAAACCAACTTTTCTCGAAGAGTCCCTTGATGGTCTCGTGGTGACGAAGTCGATTACCAAGCAGCTGATTCAACCAGGGTGATAGTCGGTGTGAGTTCGGCCGGAACCCCCGTACCCAGCACCGCTCTGGTGCCGGGCTCCGGCAAGGGACAGCAAGGCGCTGGAAAAACTTGTCGTGGCTCGTCAAGAAATTCTCTCGGGTCGAGCGCGGAGGTTTTGTCGCAAAAGGCGGGGTATCTGAGTGCAGGCACGCCGGCGCTGGAGCAGACTACCTCCAGCGCTACTCCCGAGTTGCAGGTCGACTGGTGAGACGCGCGTGCGCTCAGCAAGCCATGCCGGCGAGCAAGGCACTGGTCGAGCAGTGCCTTGCGACCGGCCTGTCAGGTCATTTTTGAGGATCGACGCTATCCGGTAGACCAGGTGCTCGAACCTGTCAATTGGACGAGGGGAACGGCTCCGCTCCCACAGTTGCTGTACCGGGTCGCCCTTCCGACCGCCGTCACGCACTGCTCATCCGGAGTTCATCGCAGCATTTCCTCTTCACATGTACCTCGTTGCAGGCAGTCTGCCGGCAAGCCTGTACCATGAATGTAGTTGGTGACTCTCACCTGCACCATTCACGCAGACCATGATTTGCGCTGGTCCGGGATTGGTGCCGCCGTGCACAGCAGCTGAGACGGTTGACAGACAGCGATTGAGTGAGCCGGACAGGCTCCATAGTCATCGTTGCGCGAGTTGCAATCGCTTTTCGCCGAGCACGTTCAGCAGCGTTCGGTGAACCTCAGTCGCTGAAGCCGCTGAGCATCGCAAAATGGGGTTGCTGTGCTCTCGGTGCCGTCTTGCCGAGCAGCTGACCAGCAGCTGAGTGCTGGGAGGGCTGCTATGACCGTGCTCCTTGCGCACCGCGCGCACCGCGTGCTATCATCAGCCTGCCGTCAGGTCGTCCATCTCGCCTTACACGCAGGCGTCGTCAGGACCTTGAGCGGGGCAGGCCGCCGGACTGCTGCGACCGGCGTGTCGTGAGACTCATATAGCAGTGCCTGGTGCAAAGGCATCAGAGGTGGTCTGGTCAGATCATGGTGATTGTGATCGTAGCAGACGATGCCTGCCTTCAGTGCAATGGCAGCAGCGGGTCGCTCCTGGGGCGATGCGCGCTTTATCTACTGCACGTGCTGACCGTTGTCGCCGCTGGTCACGACGGCTATCGTGCCGACGGCACATCGGTGACCCTCAGCACACCCCTGTCAGTCTAACGCGACCATGCATGGCTGGTTCTTTCATGCCCTTGACGAAGGCGTAGGCCTGGTCGCACGCCGTCATGGTGTTAGTACCTGTCACCTCAGCGATCCGAGAGCTCCGCGCGGCGCACCATCGCTAGATTGCAACGATGAGTGCAGCCACGCCCATCGTCAGACTACAGATGACCAGCCATGAGAAAGGAGCTGATTGCTGCTGAAGACTACATGCTGTTACAGGACACCAACGCAATTACTAACGACTGTGATGTAGGATCCAGATGCAGCGGCAAAAAGATGACCTCGCTGGGGGTCGAACCCAGAATCTCTTGATGTCAGATTTTCTGAGAAATCGTAGTCAAGCGCCTTGCCATTGGGCCACGAGGCCTGTGTTGGAGGGTCTTTGTTCTGACAATAAATCCGGCACAACCTCAGGTCTGGCCACACGAACAACTACATGTTGTGGAGTCATGATGAGAGGCAAAGCACAGTTGGTGAGCATGTTCAAGACGGGCGGCGAGCACGCATGGCGAGACGTGTCGGTAACAGCCCAGGAGTTATAGTGCTAGTATACCTAGCTCGATTGTTTTCTAACGAACATCACGGCATGCGCTGACTACGACCATCGCTGCTAGACGCGGCGGCAGCGTGCGCTGCGCCCACCTAGAGCCGCGCAGCAGGGGAGGCAGACCCCGGGCTGGCGATCTCATTGTACAGCAGACTGGTCAGGAAGTCCGCGTACTCCTCGCCCGTGACCTGCGTGGCGAAGTACCTGGCAGCGAGTTGGAACTTGTTGCCCTTGCCCGCCTTGGCTGCGAGCGCGTCGGCCTGCTCCTTCAGCAAGCGCAGGGCGTAGGCCTTGTCGACGGTGCGGCCCTCGGCGGTCTTGACGTTGTGCTTGCACCACTGCCAGAGCTGGGAGCGCGACACCTCTGCGGTGGCGGCGTCCTCCATGAGGAAGTTGATGGGGATGCACCCGACGCCGCGCAGCCAGCCCTCCATGTACGACAGGCCGATGGTGAGGTTCTTGCGGATGCCGTCCTCGGTGATGCCGCCCGGCACGTTGGTGTTGAGCAGCTCGTTGGCGGAGACGGACGCGATGTCGTCGCGCCGGTTGAAGATCTGGTTCGGCGTCGGCATGTGCTTGTTGAACACCTCGGCGGCGATGCCCGCCAGCGCCGGGTGCGCGACCCAGGTGCCGTCGTGGCCGGCGCGCACCTCGCGCAGCTTGTCCGCGCGCACGCCGTCCATCGCGGCGTCGTTCGCGCGCGCGTCGCCCTTGATCGGGATCTGCGCCGCCATGCCGCCCATCGCGTGCACGCCGCGCCGGTGGCACGTCTTGATGAGCAGGCGCACGTACGCGTCCATGAACGGCACCGTCATCGTGACCGCCGACCGGTCGGGCAGCACGAACGCCGGGTTGTTGCGGAACTTCTTGATGAAGGAGAAGATGTAGTCCCAGCGCCCGCAGTTGAGGCCCGAGCTGTGCTCGCGCAGCTCGTAGATGATCTCGTCCATCTCAAACGCCGCCGTGATCGTCTCGATCAGCACGGTCGCCCGGATCGTCCCGCGCGGCATCCCGATGTAGTCCTGCGCGACGTTGAACACGTCGTTCCACAGCCTGGCCTCGAGGTGCGATTCCATCTTGGGCAGGTAGAAGTACGGACCGAACCCCCTGGCCACCAGCTCCTTGGCGTTGTGGAAGAAGTACAGCCCAAAGTCGAACAGCGAGCCTGAGATCGGCTCGCCGTCCACAGTGAAGTGCTTCTCGTCCAAGTGCCATCCTCGTGCGCGAGCGATCAGCGTGGGCAGCACGCGGTCGGTGCGCAGCTTGTACTCCTTGCCCCCTAGGTTGAAGTCGACCTGCCGCCTGATGGCGTCGTAGAGGTTGACCTGTCCGTCAATCATATTCTCCCATGTTGGGGCGGAGGAGTCTGAGCACTCGGTCAGCAAGCGTTCTGCTCAGTGCGTAGAGATGTGAACAGCCAGACTTACCCTCAAAGTCAGCCATGTACGTCCACACATTCGAGTTCAGCGCATTCACCACCATCTTGCGGTCCGTCGGCCCTGTGATCTCCACCCGTCGGTCGACCAGGCCCGGGGCAGGCGGCGCGCCCTTCCACGCATCGTTCTCACGGATGTGCCTCGTCTCAGGAAGAAAGTCAAGCAGCTGCCCTCGGTCGAGCTCAGCCTGGCGCACCTTGCGGCACTCCAGCAGGGCCTTGCGAGTAGGGTTGAAGGTGCGGTGCAACAGCGCCAGGAAAGCAGTAGCCTCCTTGGTGAGTATCTTCTTGGAGTTGTCCGTCAGCTTGCCGAGGACGGCAACGTCGGCCAATAAAGCGTCAGTCGATGCCATGATGATGGTTATGATGAGGTCGTCGGGACGATGTGGTGTATAGCCAGTGCGTTGGTAGACCGTGATGGGGCGAAGGATACCAAGTTGACAGTCCTATAGACTCGCACCAGCTACTCCAATGCTCGACCGTCAACCCCTTCAGGCCATCAGGAGCACGCTAGGCAGTCGTCGTACATATATATACGACAGATGGGCCTCACCCCATGTCTTCCTCGTCACCCCGCGAGCTACCCATCTGTCGTCTGCAGCAACAGCAGCAGCAGCAGCAGCAGCAGCGCGATTGCAACTGGGGCTGATTGCTGGACTCGCTCCGATGATTCGGTGACCGTCCTAGTTGTCAGAGCTCTCGTATTGGCCCAGACCTGTCTCTCAAGTGCACGCTGCACTGTGACTGGGTGCACAGCCAGGCTGGCCCCGAGACGGCCACTTTGACAGGCGCATGCCCAGCGCAGGAGACACAAGTGCCGACGACGAGAATCGAGCGAACTGCCGCGGGGGACTGATCCAAGGGTCGTCCGTCTACCGCAGGTTCGCTTCGGCTATCAGGAGCTGACTGGACGTGCAGGGGCAGGCATGCTGGGCTGGCTGTCGGCCTCTGCTGCTCCTCTTCGGCAGGCATCTCCAACGTCGACATGCCATGCATCGGATGTACTGTGCCTCAGAAGACCTATACCTGCCCCTTGACACTCGGCGTATGACTGGTACCCCGGACACTGCCCGACACCGTCGCGCGGTCACGGAACTTGTCCTGCCGCCCCTCGTGTCAGGCTGAGGGTCTGGATGCCATGATTGCCGAGGAGGCAGGTTTAGACAGCGTCCTGGACTGGCACCGCTGCAGTCTGGGCGCTGAGCATCATGCCTGATGATCGCAGCGCATGCATCACCATCTGCAGTGGCATCGTCACAGTACGGGGTACAGAGCGGCGCAAGGCATGTCGTCGTCCGCTTCGGACCTCTCGGTCGAGAGATGCACGGCAATACACTCGCTGCTGATGCACAGCTACGCTCCCTGCCAGCTATACAGGAGCAGACCAGCCCGTGTCGCTCAGTATGCCAGCACTGTACCAGCTACTGAACTCCTCGTAACTCAACCGCTGCGTGGCATTGAGCTGTCAATGATGCATTGCTGTGGATGGACGGCCCTCGCAGCTCCGACAGCTGCCCCTCCTTCGCACGCCTGCAGACTCGCGCCGTCTCACTTGTCCTCGCATCCGTCTGCGCACGTGCAAGGCCATCATGCACGATGCCTGCCGCTGTCTGCACATTCTCCGACGGCAAACGCCGTGACTGCGCCTCATGATGGAGCGAGTGTCGGAAAAGCAGCAGCGGCAAAGCGAGGTCGCTGTAGCAAGGATAAAAAAGAGATGCGGCTTGCCTGGATCGAACAGGCGACCTTTAGATTAACTTGTTTTTGCAAACTGAAGTTGAACTTCAGTCTAACGCTCTCCCAACTGAGCTAAAGCCGCTAACTGGAGTGAGTCAGATATACGTGTTATATGACGCCACTGGCGTACTGCAATGCCAGTCACAACCATATCGTGGTTCGTCGGCAACGCGACTCATCGACTATGGAGGGCACAGGCGCATCTGAACGAAGTTGATCTGTCGTTGGTCTCGCATTGGGGACCTCCGAAAGCCTCTGCAATGACACTGGCCTCGAAAGCCATGTCCAAGCCGCCGCGTGCTATCACGCAAGGAGGCAGGTCGGCGGGGCTGCATTGCGTGGCTCCCAGCTGAGGAAGAATGCCACTATGGCTCTGCTGTGGCTGGAGAAGAACCGCTGATGGTGCTTTGACGGTGCAGTCGTCGATTCTAAGGCAATCGAAGCATGATGGATCTCTTGTCACTAGACGCTGCTCAGTGATACAGGTTGCCCCAGTGGCACACTGAGCCTCGCCGGATAGCGCGCTATGCGGCAGTCGCACTGTGCCCCGGCCTCGACGTGACCAGTGCCGAACATGAACCACACCAGCGAGATATGGTCCTGCTCACATCCTCCACGGTCGCAGCTCTGTTGTCTACCTCCGTGATCGTGCTGTCGACGGCTGCATTGTTCCTGGCCGGCTTCAAAGTTCAGCAGGCGTCACTCCGAGGACTGCAAAGAAGCTTGCAAGAGGAGAGCCACCACTTCTACGCAGACTACGGCAAGCCGATTTTTGATGGCCGTCGGATTGTGGCAGAGTCGAGGGGTGGTGAGACTAGCGAGACCGACACCGAGGGGAAGCTGCCCGAAGACAACTACCAATCGAATAACGACCGTGGTGCGTCCAGCCATGGAGCACAAGACATGCGACGGCCGTTGGTAGCCCATGTCCAACTGCTAGATCACGCGAGCACGACGACCGATCTATGCTCTGCACTCCTGCACTTCGACCTGCTTGCGCGCAACAGCAGCATTGCCTTTGACAAGGTCTTGGTGTATCCAGCCTCGCTCGAGGCGAGCATCAAGGCCGTGGACCTGCACCACGCCCTCAACCGACTGCGGTCAGCTGGCGTCGTGCTCCATGCCGTCGACGTGCCTCCTATCGGGTCCACCGCACCGACGTCAGAGTCTCGCATCCTCGAGGCCGTGGCTGGCAAGCTGCTCCAGTACCAGGAGCTGTACTACCTGCGTGCCCCTGGCTTGCTCTTGGACGTGGAACGACTCGACAGGGTGTTCCTGACAAGACCCAAGTCAGCCGCAGAGACGCTGCAGGAGCGGATGAAACAGCAGCGCCTTGAGAAGGACGTGCCGGCGGATATTGCGTGGATGAGGAGTAGCCTAGGTCAGACATGGCTCTCTGCGCGGCTATCGATGAGCATGGTGCAGCTGCCTGCTGCATTTAAGATCAGCAAGCACGAGACGCGAAGGCGCACGTCCGGATGGTGGACGAGCAGCAAGGCCAGCATCAGCAGAGCGTACGTACCGTCTGCTGAGGTGAGAAGGACATTTGTGGTCCCTTCGTCCAAGGTTACGAGTCAGATGATGGTGTCTAGTACGGACAAACCTGCGTACGTGTACTTCGAAAGCCAGTTACAGGGGCGACGTCGCG